CCCCCCCCCCCCCTATACTTTATGACTGGTCCCTTAAGCCTTTTGTCTAGTAGGCTTAAGCATAAGGATGTTGCTCATTATTAATCCCAATTTATTAAATTTAATAAATTGAAACTTTATTTATTTATTCATTTACCTTTGCCAGTTATATAAATACGTACAGAATAATACTTTAGATAACATATTGACACATCATACCCTAGTAGCCCAACTTACTCAGTCGCTGTTGCGATTGCGATATTACATACTGTATATGCACAGACATTCCAACCTCCGAGTCTTCAAAACCGGGACACTTCCCAATTTTCCCATTTTACTTAAATAAACGCCTCCCTCGAATAAATGCCGCGCTTTTCTCATTGATGTGGTGTCTATTTGGGTTAGTGTTAAAATTAGTTGAGTTGAGTTTGAATTAAACAATAAATTTACAGTGGATGCTGCAAAAACTAGTATTATTACACTAACATTGAAACCCATAAGTAATATAACATCTTCTCAACAAGCTTGAATTTCATTGAAGTACTGTACTGGCGAGTGGCGAAATTGTTTCGTTTTACTACTGGGTTAGCACTTTTTCCATCCAGCATTAGACAGCAAACCGCCCTATCGATTTTCTAAAGTCGTTTTTTTTAAAAATTTTTTTATTAATTCGGTTAGGGTTAGAGTTAGGGTTGCGGTTAGGGTTAGAGTAGGGGGAGGGTTTGGGTTAGTTACATAGCCATTTAACGCCTCTTCTATCTTCCGAAAATGACGTCAGGTTAGTTTGCTGGATGGAAAATAGTGCTAACCTTACTACTGGGGCCGGTTGTTCAAAGCTGGATTAGCGCTAACTCTCGGTTAAAATTCAACCTGCTGTTTTAGTTTCTGTATTTCTACATATCTGTTTATTTCAAAACTTCAGAGAAGAGAACTCTCACAGATCCACGCAAGAATTATGAAGAAATCTTTCGAAGTATATAACCAAGCTGTTGGGAAGTTTGCTTTGAATTTTAGGTTAATTAACCTATAGTAAAGCTGATCGGCTTTTGAACAACCGCCTCGGGTCTTTTGAACTGTGATCCGGCCTCTCGTATTCAAGAGCCCGCGATTATTGCGCCGGCTTCTGTCATGCTGCTTTACTTCATGTTGCCCTGGCAAAATGAATAAGAATTGAAAACGAACGCTAAATTGTCAAAACAACGTATGTCACGAGAATTACAACGATCGGCGACAAACTTGGCAATTGTTTGGGGCCACTAGAAGCTCCCATTTCATTAATATGTATTGAACCAAACGAATTTCATTAATATTTGTCACATGAGCCTTATTTGAAGAATACAACTATTAAAATACTACAGAAACCGGGACAATAAGAAGAAAACTGGGACACCGGAGACAACATAGTCCAAACCGGGACAGTCCCGGGTAAACCGGGACGGTTGGAATGTTTGTATGCATCGCAATCACAACATTGCTACTAATTGGGCTAACTAGGATTATACATTCAAATTCAATTTTCTTCTAAATTAGTGATAGCAGACTTCACATTAAATTCCTAAATGCTTGAAAGTTGTAAATATTGCGAGTTTGTATATTAGTGCACTTACCAAGTGTCCCGAAGCACCTATAGTCAAAACAGAATGCTGCATCTTTCAGTACAGAATATTCTAGCCGTGAATGGAGGTCATACCAACAAGATTGGAACTTGAAGGTTCTTTTCCCAGATGTTGATACAGGAAATTCGATAAGTGGTCTAACAGGACCCAAATTATTTACTATTAAAGCCCGATTCACTTCATTGACGATCTGCATAAAATGTTTTAGGGTAAAGACTAAACCTTTAAAAACATTACAAAGAATCTTTCCTACCCTAAACATCAAGTTTCACCTGAACAACATATCAACATCGTATACAATATACCTTGCTCTGACTGCTCGTGGTCATATGTTGGCGAAACTGGAAGATCATTTGGAACCCGAAAGAAGGAACATATTCGAAATGTAAAAAACTATAATAAAAAAGGCTCAAACATAGCTAAACATGCATGGGGATATGGATCATATAATTGACTTTGATAATGGGAAAGTAATTGATAGTGGCAATTGTCGGACACGTAAGACATTAGAATCTTGGCATATACTGCTACAATAACAAATATACTGACAATATAAATTTTAAGCCGCTTCCAAAACAATATGCTATGCTAGTTAATAAAAAATGTCATCGCTAGACGCTACAATTATCATACCTATCACTTCCTGTTACATATATATCACCTACCTACCACATGCACACTTGTAATTAATTCATTCCACTTTATCCGTCGAAGACTACAGTTAGGTAGTCGAAAGCTCGTTTTAAATAAAATTTTAGTCAGAGAACGTTTATTCGAAATTTGTGTCTCAAATTAATTCAGCACCCCCGTTATTGAAAAAACATTTTTTTATTTACATGGCTGTTAGAAATTAGAATCATTGCACCTTTCTCTTCAGTTTAGAAAAATCTCAAAATTCCCTCCCTGACGACGCCACTGAGATTTGCCCCAATGTGCAAAATTTGGAGAAATTTTTATTCTATAAATTATTTTTTATAGAAGATACATAAATACATAAACTTTGAGTAGTAATTTGTTTTCGGCTTTCTATTAAGTGTACGTAATGGACTGCCTAAATTGAACAACTTGCGTACAGAAAATGGCTGACATTCTGATGTGTTTGGTGGTTAATATATACATCATAAAATCTCATGAAGAGTCGAGAAATTTGAAAAACCAATAACAAGTTGTGGAAAATCTCATTTTCAATTTCATTGCAAGTTACTGGTTCGATCCAAAAACTATTAGGTAAGGGGGATGTCCTATAATGCATTGGAGATTTATATAATTCGGTGTTTGCGTAGCTAAATCAGGTCCTGTATTAGTAAAATATTTGTTAAAAGCGTCAGCCACTAATTTGGGATCAGTTATGTCAATATTATTTTCAGAGATCTTAAAATTTTCCCCCCTAATTTTTTGCTTAAAATGAACTATTTCCTTTATTCTGCTCCATATTTTGTTCAGGATTGTTTAGGTTTTTAAGGAAATAATAATTATAATATGATCTTTTACCAAGCTTCAATAAATGATTTATTCTATTTCTATAATATTTAAATTTGGAATGATAATATGGAGATTTTGATGCAAGGTATTTCCTATATATTCTATTTTTAACAAACCTCGTATCTTTCTTAGAAAGTTGTTTGATTGTAAAATGTTTATCTATAATTTGAGTCACTTTGTTATAGAAAGTATCAAACATGCTAGTTGTGTCCGAATTATCCACAAGCTCTAATTCCCAATTAATTATTTTCATCTCCTCAATTAAATCAGTTTGATTGAACTAAGATAAAAATGTTTAAAAGAGATTTTTCTCTGAAGACAGAATTGAGAACTTTTTAAATATAATAAAATTTGGAAGGCAGTCGGTCAAATCATAGACCAAATTATACCACTGATCATGAAATGTTGAAAGCAAGTTTAAAAATATGTTGTCTATTAATGTAGCAGAATGGTCAGTTAATTCTAGCAGGCTGTAAAAAGAACGATCCAAGAATATTGAGGAAATGATCTCTATGAACATGTGTTTCAATTTTTAGCAAGTCAATTTGTCTTGTCAGTTGTTGTATTAATATATTCCAAAAAACTGTACATTCCAATACTGTGCAGTAGATATTTAGTACCAGAATACTGTTTATATTACCTTGGTTTGCCATCAGCTGTAGTTGCTGTTCCTCGACCTCTATGATGGTATAAATCCAAGGCAGCAAGTTGATTTCTTGCCCAGTATGTTGCAAACCTGCAGATAGACAAATATTATTTTCATTCATCATTTTCAAACTTGAACGTACATGTACTGTACACTGTATATACAAGTGATTTCAGAGCAAACATGTTTTCTGAACATATATGCAATTGATTTTCTTATAATTCAGAGCAAAGAGCATGTTTTCTGTAATTTTACAGCAGTATCACCATTAGTAATTAATTTATCATCTTTAATTATGCACAAATTTTATTAATACTTAGGAGAAAGCATGTCTTTTAGAAGCATACATCAGAATTTGATTATGAAAAGATTCAAGAAAGCCTGCGTGCCTATAGCAGAAATTTTAATAAACTGGCACATTAGTATTAGTCATTTAGTCATAAGAATAGTATGTAGTACAATCAACAAAGCACAGGATTCGTAACTATGAAAATTTTTTCTGTTTGATAACACATTTTTGGGTCTCTATGTGCCAATTTAGATGTCAGCATCTGCTTAATTAGAGGTGTCCACCTGATTAAAGGAATACCGAATGGTTTTCCATGCAGGATTGCGTGATCCATGCACATGAGATGTCGCAAGTCTTTCAGAAAGTGTACAAATACTCGAGCAGGCGAGTGTATTTTTATACTTGCCGAAAGTCGATCAACATCCCAAATGCATGGATCACACTATCCTGCTTGGGAAACCATTTGGTAATTGTTTTATGAAATAACAACAGTGAAACAATGGCATTTTCAGAATCCTGCAAAGGCATTTTAATTCCTTATGCAGGATAGCCTGATCCTGCATGCCTATTGACCAATCAAATTGCATTCTCACTGTAGTTATTGTTTTGTATAAGAGGTTTCATTAATAGGAATAATACAAGACTCTACTCGGGGAATTTACAAAGTGTCCCACTGACATAGAGTGGCCGCTTAATACCAGGGCCAGGCTGCTTAATACAGGTTTGATTAAACAATGTCATCAACTTACAATAGGCAAGTACCTGAAGTTGGTGTAGTATACAAGTGTGTTGATGATTTGAGTGTCCATCACAATCTTTGTCAATGCTTTATGAGCAGATGACTCCTTCAGCCAGGGCTTCATTCTATCCTCTGCATTCAATGGCTCACATGCACGCTTTCCTCCATTCACACCTTCTGGCACCACCCATTCATGCTCATCAGCCACATGATGCAAAATTCCAATCCAGTTATCCTATTATGTGGTAATTAAATATAGATTTGATGTACATAGTACTGTCAACAGATTATTTGTAGCACAATCATTCCATAAACAGATCCTCTATGATATACAGTATATGCAGACACTGTATACATGGTACACTGGCTAAGTTTTAATTAATCCATGTTTGAAAGTAACAATTATGGGTTCTCGTACTGTAAGCCAAATAGTCAATCTTACTTTTATTGTTTTTGCATCATTTCCACAGGTTCTTGAACAGTGCCAAAAATGGTTCCACATTGACGGTCCTCAAAACAGAAGATCACCATTTCCTTTTCCCTTTGCAGCTTTAAAATAATGAAAGGAGGTATAAGATAACAATTCAATGGATTTGAGCGCATTCATGAACTGGGGTAAAATTGCCTGGTGTTTTAGACAAGTAAATTTGGAATGATTGTATTGTCCAACAACTAGACAAAGTATCCAAGAGGGGCATATTTTATACAATTGATTTGTTGAAAAACAGCATTGATTTTTTTGGCTATGTTTTTCCCTCCATGCCAGACATCATTCTGATGCAGGAGGTTTTTGTACTTGTCTTGTTTTTCTATAAAATAATTGTTCTCTTATTTATTAAAAAGACTTTGTGAATTCTGATTAGGTGACATCCATATTTGTTATGAGCAGAGCACTACTGTTCTTCAATACCAGTATTTCATTCCACAAAGTTCATGAAAGTTCACAAGTTCATAACCACAGTGGCCAATGCTGTAATAAAACTTACTCATCAACGCTCCAATCTCAAGATGACCATCTGTCACAACCTCCTTTAGAACAGTTGTTGATGCGAGTAACACATCCATCCTTCTTTCAAATCCAATTCGCTCCATATTGTTGCTTTTTCCCGAAGCTTCTGTCACATCAACATTCATTTGGAGGACGGTCTAATCATCCATGTCAGCAAGGCTGTATGTGCAGTACTGAGCACTGTGACCAGGAGAGTCATTTCTTCCATCACCACTTAAAAAAACCTCTTTACCAACCTTCTCTTCCCATAGTTGTTTCTGGTGCTGTTCCCAGAATTTGTTGATTGCAGGGATGATGCACAACTTCTGATACTGATTAAACAGTGTAGATGAAAAATACTGCAGATTGCAAAAGTTGAACATCAACCCCACTTTAGCATACAAATTCCCAGACAACAGCAGAGAAGAAGCAAGCATGATATTGCCTGCTTGGATCTTGTCACAAGATGGCTGTGCTGCCCATCTCCCACCAACATGGCCGGAATTACATCCACAGGACACAACAAGACAAGTACCAACATAGGTTTTCTTGTAATGTAAAGGGTGACCACAATAGAGACTTTATCAACGACATGAGAGTGTCTGTAAACACAATGCACTTTTCCATCTTTATGGTTACCTGGGGTAACCACGTCCACATGTGGTGCAGTGCCTTTATCTTCATGTTCTTGGCCAATTTCGTCTCCATCATGCCCATTAATGATTATGTTGAAGATGTCATTTTCTTCTGGCAGTTCTGGGCATGTCTGTCCCAAACTTAGACAAAAGACTTTGTGTTATTAATAAATTTACACTACTGTCATTAGTGACACATGGTGAACAAAAAATTTTAAAAGTGTGTATTATGTATTTGCATGCATTTTGGTAGTTTTGTGGACACATGAGCCAAAATTATTATAAGAGCTACAATCTTGGACAATAATTACCAGACAAGTGCGAAATCCCCACTTCCCCTTCTTGCAATGTTGATGTAGCAGTTGTAGCCTGTAGAAATGTCAAAAATCCAAATGTTTTTCTAAATTTACAACATTGTGGAAGGGGGGAGGGGTGAAATGTGACTTGTCTGGATATATTTTGTCCAAGATTGTCTCTGCATCTGATTTTAGGCCTACTTGTATTTTCACCGACCCAACAATTTGATATATGGTATCTCACGTAAAATATTCTTGCTTTTTACCAAAGATATTAGTTATAATTAGAGTGTATTTGTAGAAATTCCAGTCTATAACGTAAAGGCGTATAATTTATCTTAGAAATATATAACATGCGGATATTACTTTGCACTAAATATCAATCTTGTGGTTCTTTTGTACTTTCCATATAAATCACTATCTAATATTTAATGAATGTTTGCCTTTAGCATTTTTATAAAAGACTTTACAGTGCAGCCATGCCAAAAACCAAAAGGGAGCAGATAATTAGGCTTAAGAAGGCTAAACTATCAATGGAACACTCCTGTCAGATAAGATCTATTTATCAACTTTGCAATGTCAGAGGCAAAAAAACTGTTAGAAATGTTTCCGCAATATTCAAAAGCCCAAATTTATGTTCATGCAAAAAAAACGCTAAATGGAGAACCTTTATTCGACAAGCAAAAATGTAACAAGGGGAGGCCTAGTAAGCTTTCTTGACAAGACAAGTGCAGAATTATTCGGACAATTCCCAAGCTATGGAAAAGCGATGGATCCGTTTACTTCACAACGTCTACAGTTAGAATCCGGTGTGTCCCAAGTATCAAATCGAGAATTTCGCAGGTACCTAAATGTCAGTGGTTACAAATACTTACAGTCTAGAAAAAAGGATCGTCTAACGGAAGCTGATCTTAAAGCGCGGTTGAAATACCGTCAACATATGAAAAGACGCAATTTAGGACAAGTGTTCTGGAACCGTGGAATCTCATTTTACCTCGATGGAGTGGGATTTGAGTCCAAACAAACCCATTGGATCAGGCACGACCACCTAATGCATGCGAATGGAGAAAAGGAAATGCGGGTCTTGACATAAACTGTGTATCAAGAGGGAAAAAAGAAGGTCAAAGAATTTTATGGTTGCAGTCTCCTATGGGAAAGGACTTATTTTTGCCAGGCAATATTTCGAGACCATGGATGGCCCTAAGTTCGCCAAAATAATAAGAGAAGAATTTAAACAAGCATTTCCTGCGAGTTCCAACCCAATTGATAAAGTTTTTCTAATGGATGGTTGTCCTCGCCAAAATGCTGCAATTGCACGCAATGCCCACGTGGATAGGAATAGGCGCAGAACTTTTCACCATTCCGGCACGCAGCCCAGATCTAAATCCAATTGAAAACTTTTTCCATCTTGTATGCAAAGAGCTAAAAAAAGAGGTCATAACCAGACAAATCGCAAAGGAAAATTTTGCTGAATTCAGCGAAAGAGTAAAGAATTGCTCAACTTTAGTGCCAAAACAATCCATACAATAATCGAGTCTATGGACAAAAGAGTAGGACTTATTATTAAGCGCCAAGGTCAGAGGATAAAATATTAGGTTTTTCTCGTATTGCGACCAGTCAAATGCTGCTGGGACTTTGCGACATAACACAACCCTGACAAATCAAGATGATACAATTTGCTTGTGAAAACTAACAACTAAACTAGAAAGATTAATATACAATTCTCTTGTGAAAACCGAACAAATTAACTAAACAATTCTGTCCCCGAAGCTTGCTTCATCTAGTTATTCGTTGACTGCGAGCCAGCTTTTTCCCAATTGCTTTTTGTAAAGTTTTCGACATTTTAATGAATGCTAAATAGTACAACTTAAACAGAATGTGAACATGGATTATTTTACGACATGTTACCAACATGTTACCATACATGTATGGTAACATGTATGGTAACGTGTTGAAAAACTATCCATCTCAACTCGAAATCATCCTCGAAAAACATATTGAGAATTCATGGTAACATGTATGGTAACGTGTTGAAAAACTATCTATCTCAACTCAAGATCAGCCTCGAAAAACATATTGAGCATGAGAGCACTTCTCTTTGATCTTTCAAAGGAATTTGGTATAAAAACTTGAAGATCTTCCATCAACTCACCATCATTTCATCTTCGGTCGGGTCGCGAGCATTGTAGGGACCTTTGAAAGTGGTAACAGCTTTACCAGTTGCAAAAATTGGGGTGTCGCGTGTCAGATAAATGTCATCTTTGTAATGGTTCTTCGGCATAGGAAAGTGCACCGGCTGGCCTTCCAATAACAACAAATCCCTCCATGGTATCATTTCCCTGTCCCATTGAAAGTCGTTTAAGAACATTATGTCCGCGTCCGCTATGCCAACAAAAGCGTACTTGTCGTTAGCAGGGTTGCTAAAGGTGTTGAACATAGTTTGTAGTGGTTTCAAAAGGAATGTTTTGCCGCAATTTGTTGGGCCAGTGATAAATAGATTGCGGTTTTTACCACGGGCGTTTGTTAAAAGTTCACGCACAGAGCTAGCAAATTCGACTGGTTCCACACCGTTCTGGTCGAGCACCTGAGTTGCACACTCGAACCACGAACCTTGACACTCCGGTGCACATTGCCACTTGGAATATTCGTAGACTACATCCATGCGAGAAACCTTCTTAAGCTCTGCAGATGCCCCTTCCATATTCCACGTATTGGTAATCAGATCCTGTAAGGACTTGCTAGAGCGGTTCAAGCAAAAACTTGTGAGGTCGTTTTTGCCAGCCTCTTTTTGAATTTTCGTGTGTGCGAAAAGTTCAGTCTCTGTTTTAACGTTGTTTTCAACAAGAAACTTGGCGACGTTTAAATTTGTTAGTCTTTGTTGTTTATTGTATGTGGTTGACGATGGTCAGTCTTTTTCGCTTGTTTCGGTTGGCCTGAATACATCTTTTAGTTTTTGGAGAACCAATATCCTTCAAATTAGGGTGCCCACGACTATGGAAAACGCTTGTGTCCGACTTAGAGACATACTGATATGCAGAATAATATGAGTCATGATTGTCTGAAAAGTGAACACTTATGCCGTAATGCTCGGACAGGTTTTCTTAGTATGCAACCACCGCTTTGGACCAGTTAACTTAATGCTCACACGAAAGTGTTCACTGCCATCCTGGTGGTTTTCTAAACAGCGGGCCCAATAGGTAGCCTTGACTTTGCTTGTACCGCTGTTAAATGCTTCTTCAACTGCCTTCCCAAAGTGTTGTCTGCTTGGAAATTTCAGTCTGTCGGCCTGGCTGTATTACCAGGTAGACTCTTCGGAGAGTTCTATCATTCATTTTAAGCACTATCAAATCTATCTGCCTGCAAAAAAGCAATCATGCAGTCTGTGACTTATGCTCGTAGATACTGGTTTCTATGTATTGAAAAATTGTAAATAAACATCTTCTGCAGCTTTACTTACCAGAGTTTGTTTATAGATAAGAATAGAAAGGTTCCTTACATTGCATTATACTGGATATAGTTTTCCTTGGTCATTGTAAAGCATTCTGCCGAGCAAAAACAATCGTTCACTACCATTTCATACTTCCCGCCAAATTTGTTGTTTTGATTTACTTGGTGTAATTTATCGCGACAAATTTTTCGTTGCAAATTATTTTCAAAATGGCGGATGGCAACGCGAGAATCTCGAAAATGCTCTCATGAATATGTAAGCATATATATACATATATTTATTTGTATTGAAATGGCTTGCAGTATATAAAATTGCTTTTATATTTCTTTCAGTCTCAGACAATCTTGGACAATAATTACCAGACAAGTGCGAAATCCCCGCTTCCCCTTCTTGCAATGTTGACGTAGCAGTTGTAGCTTGTAGAAATGTCCAAAATCCAAATGTTTTTCTAAATTTATAACATTGTGGAAGGGGGCAGGGGTGAAATGTGACTTGTCTGGATATATTATATCAGCAGTTTGAGTGTCATAACTGTTCATTGTTTTCATTAAAATATTTTTTTGCTTTTGAATGTTTTGTTCTACACATGCTATATGTATTTACTAAACTATATAAAAAATATCAATTTTTCTTTTTTTGAAAATCATCTTCAATTATCGTAGAATCTTCTTTTAATACTTTTTCTGTGAAATCTGCCCAGATTTTGCATCTTTTTAGCATTTGAACAACCATGCTAAAATTCATGTACTAGTTACCATGGTAACGGTAAAATTTTTTTTATCCATTTTCATTGTTTTTTTTCCCATCTTTTTGACCAACAAAACTGTAAGGAATATAAACTAGCACTTACACAGTGTATAACATGACGTTTTAGACTTGTTTGGTGGGGCTGCAGGACCTGATGGGATAAACCTAAAAATTATTCATGAACTTGTAAATTTTATAGTATTATTGGTCATATTATTGAGACAAAGTTTTTCACATTTCATGCCTGGAAAGAAGAAAAGATCTGTTTACAGAAAGTCAAAGAAAGGAAGGTAGTTTACTGGACTTCAAAGATATGCAAACAAAACGAAGACACAAGAAAATGTACTAATAAATGAAGGTGAATCGTCGGTGACACAACCATCAACCAGTTCAGGGATATTAATCAACCTTTGGTTTTGAGTGCTTCTAGGGCGAAAGTAAAACGTCAAACTATTTCAAGCAGTTCATCGGACAACTCTGGTAGGATAGACGATCCTGTTGAAGGATATAGGCTTGTAAATGTTGCAAATTAGCTTCAGCTCTTTCAACTGAAACACATGTTTGTGAGGGAGGTAAGATGACTAACCTGGATTGTGTGTATTCTGTTCCCTTGATTACCATAAACATTTTTTCCTTCATTACTTTTTTCAATTTGTTTGATAGTATATTTTATTTCTCCATGTTTTTCAACACACACTTTTCCCATATATAAACATTATATTGGCTAGCAAAGTGGACTTACCCCTAGCACAATTATGTTTTATATATTTAGTATTTCACACCAGTTTTCATTTAATTATTTCTGTATTCTAGGCCATCTGATTCTGAGTGAAGATAGCAGTGCAAGAAATGGTCTTATGTCTGACCTCACCATTAAGTGCAACATATGCCCTGAGAGTACCAGTTGTGGAACATCGTTGTCAGTTTTGGGAAGAGGGAAGTCATATGATGTGATGTGTACCATTCTCTGGAAACAGGAAGTAGTTATGAAGGGCTTGTAACCTTTTGTGGTATCATGAACATGCCATGTTTGTCATTACCATCTTATTACAAAATGGTTGATATGATTCTTGTGGCCGTGGAAGCAGAAGCCCACAAAAAAAATGCAACTGGCACGTCAAAGGGTCCAGGACTTCATCTCAAAAGAAAACAGAGAGCAAGCTAATGATGACACTGTTGTGGATATAGCTGTTTCTTTTGACAGGACTTGGGCGAAGCAGGGATTTACATCCTTAATGGGAGTAGTTTTTGTTATTGCATTGGATACAGGGGAAGTTCTAGACTACCATGTCCTCTCAAAAGAGTGTCGAAAGTGTGTGATGAAGAGAAGTAAGTGTAGTGTCACCATGGTATTAAGGTTGTTCATTGGGGGGGGGGGGGGGTTTGCTAAAGTGCGAGCCTGCGAGCCCGAGCCTTAATTTGCGAGCCGCGACCTTTCATTTGCGAGCCTTTCATTTGCGAGCGATCTCAGCCATGGATGATTTTATTGATGAAGATATTAAACAAGGTAATAAACAATTAATATTTTAATGTTTTCTTTTTTATTTGTCTATCGATGTGAAAGAAATATTTTATTTTTAAACGCTTGATTTTATATTACATGTATACAGCTGAAGAGTTGTCGGAACTGAGTAGCTATAAACGACACGAAGGTTAGTATATAATCCATGTATTACAAAGGAACCTCCGCTATTTTTATAGAGGTTGGTATGCTATTTTATAGAGGTTGGTATGCTATATATATTTTCGAATATCAATATTTTTTGAAACAGCTTTGCTCATTTGTCTATATTTTATGTAAGGCCGAGGGAATTAAAGTCATGAATACCGTCCTTATAATTTCAAAAATAGATGAGGCTTTTTTCATTATTTATTATTTTTAGAAATGTGTGAATATATATTGGTCGAACGTCAATAAACCTGTTCAGTAATATGCCAGCAAACTTTAAAACTAGGCAGCGAATGCCTTTCTGCCTGCGAAGCGAAAGCTTTGCTGTACAAGTAGACTTTGCCCTTAATACATGACTTCTGCGATGAATTGTAGTTTAAACTGTAGATAATTGTTGAAATAACGAAATATTTTGAAATGATTTTTTTTCGGCAGCATTTTGGACATGCGGGCGAAGGACGGTATTCTATGACTTTAATTCCCTCGGCCTAATAGCATGGTTTAAGTGCATGTTGGTTACAACAAGTCACATGAATACGATGTCGCATGATTGACTTAAAAAAACACAATGATAATCTTTAAAACAAAGTAAAAAGTTTACTTGTTTAGTTCGGGAATCAAGGAAATTTAAATGGCATGCACATTGGTCATTGTAGTGCATCACTTAATTTAATTGTTTGTTCTTTATTTGTATAGGTATTTGTAAAATACTGTTGAACCTACGTGCCTGCATGTGGAGTGTGCAGGTTGTACACTTCTCTCACTCTTAATCTTATAATAAGTTATGATAATGGAATTGAAAACAGTACCACTGAGCTAGATTTTCTTTCCAGTGAGAATAAAAATGATATCATCATGCATGTATAGTCACTGGATGCACGCGTAATCTGCATTGGCTGTGCTCAAGTGAAATATACTATATTTCTCTTGATTGATATGTTTACGTATAAATAATGTACATTTCTTTAATTATGAATATTTCTTAAGACTATTTAATTTATAACTTATAAGCTTTTATTGCTAAATTTCAACAAATCTACAAATTTGGGCGCTGATACCACCATTTTCGAGCTTCCATGAAACGTGCATTTATATAAACTAGGTTTCTAAACGTTTCTTCCGGATAGCCATATTAACTTCGCTGGAAATATAGCATATATATAGCATATATATACTATAGCATGGAAATCCGCGAGATTGTTTTGCTATAGAGCCAGGGTGAAACACGATAGTCTTACTGTAAATATGATGGCAGGTTCGTAAATTTCTGAGAAAAAACAATTTGTTATTTCTGAAATTAGTTTAGTTCCAGAAACCTCAAGTCAAATGCATGTTGCGAGACATGATTAATTTAAAACGCATTCATTTTTACTAAATAATGATACCGCTTGATAGCATGTGCTCTGAATATAAAATGAAAATAATTCTAATCTCAAATATAGAGATTAGACGGGCTTGTAAAGGTATAAATAAAGGCTCGCAAATGAAAGGCTCCGGCTCGCAAATGAAAGGCTCCGGCTCGAAGGCTCGCACATTAGTCAACCTCAGTAAGGTCTTGTGCTCCTCAATATTTTACTCCGGTTATCTTTCATCTAATGTTAAGTAATGTACTAATCATCCTTACTTGCAGCTGAGAGCTAAACTGAACTGCAAAGGTAGCCTGATAACAGACCTACGTTTCGCCCGCCCTAAAATTCGCGGGTCGACTAAGGGCGAAACGTAGGTCTGATGAAAATGTTGTCAAAAGTGCATGTAAGTCGGTGAAGGCCAGCCTAGACCTAGGCCTTCTAGTCTTATTTATATTTTTTCATATTCAGCGCTTTTTCACATGAAAAGA